CACGGTTCGGTCTTCGAGTTTCAGCCAGTCCAATTACAGCAAATCTCACGTTCTTGACATTGGCTTCAAAATCCGCGAATTATTCGTCATTGTTTTTACTATCATTATTTAAAAAATTTTTATTAAAATATAAAAAAATAAAATAATTATTATTGAAAAAACAGCAGTTAATAAAACATCGAGTCAGAACATTATTATTACCATTATTGTTGATTATTTGTTATTAATGTTATTACCATTATTATCAATGCAAGATGTGTACAGCCAGGACAGCACAAGTGCGGGTTCGAGACCCGTCCGAGACCGAAATTTTGTTCATATTGAGTACTGCATCGAAATATAATAACAGCAGTAAACAAAACAACAGATCTACCGAAATCTTATTATTCCATATAAATCGATTTCAATGCAGCATTGTTTATGCTAGTGCTGAACATAACAGTTAATCATTTTATTGGAGCGCAAATTAATTTCATCGCAACATATTTACAAAAAGGAAAGAGATGTTCAGATACTTTGATATAAATGGAGATGGTGAGATTGATGAAGACGAATTCACAAAGGTTATGATGAGAGACGAAGCTGTCATGGAGAAGGCACAAACGAAAGAGAAAGGCAGAAAAAGAGATCCCGGAGTGGCTTGGATTCTTGATTTCAATAACGATGGCATTGTTAGCTACAAGGTATGGATTCTATTGAGATTAGGTAAAATTCGGAAAAATCGACACAACCTATTTGAAATGTTCCTCAGCTAATATAAATAATGACGTTATCGCCTGAATAATGACGAAATGTAGGTATTTTTCACAGCTTGAAGCTATCTTGACCCAGCCTCTCAAATAGTTTGGAGGAGTGGGGACTTGCTTAATCTGGTTTCCTTAGTCGCATTTATTCCAGTTCTTGCCGCCCACGTCGCTTCACACACACACACATACACACATACGCACACATACACACACATTCACAAATACATCATACACACATTTCCTTCTCTTCTTCGAATGCTTTTGGAACAAATATTTTCGAATGATTTCTTGAGCGGAAATTTTGGCAACAGATTTTAATGTGAGTGCTGACTTCGATGCAGTAACTGTTTAACCATTTCAATTTTCAGGAAATGGATGATGCGCCGGATCTCCTCGAAAAAGGTCCCACTCTATTGCCGGTCTTCAAGGATGAACTGTGATTTGTAGTCATGTGATTTAATATAATAATAACAATCGTAATAATAAATTTTTCAATTGATAATAATAGGAGTGCTTCTCGGAAGTTCTTCATCTAAATGTCGCTGGGGTGTCTAAAAATCATAGGCGCCAAAAATCAAAACTATTAAGGCAGAAAGTATATATAAACTTCCATTTCATTTATCGATAATCAAGGCGGCGGTGGTGCGATGGCAAGAGGGGACTATCACATATGCATGATCACGGTTTCGTATCCCGAACCGGTATCCGCCTAGACCAACAAGGTCTTTTATCCCTCCGAAGTCGGCTAATTGCTACAAAACTCATCTTGGAGGATAAAAACAGCGACTTGTACATCGGCTGGCCACCGCAAGTCATTATATAGGCTACATACGCGTTCATTACGCCATACTACTCTGAAAGGAAGACGAATTCGGGGCGCATCAATCGGCGCCAGAACACTTTATCTTTTACATTAATGACTAGTCGCATAAGTATGTATTCTTGCAGTTTGCATAGTTATCTAAGTGGCTGCTTTTATAGTCCGCCGGCAGGCGTACCGGCGTGCCAGCCGAGGCAGTGCTAGGGGGGGAGGAGGGAGGCAGACCGTCGGTCGACGCGGTCGCGTCGCGCCCAAGCCCCTTCGAAGGGGTGTAAACAAAGAGAGACAAGATCAAAAACCATTTATACAAGCTCGTGGTTGGAAGAGACGAACATACATCGTGAACTTTCGTCCAGTAGTGAAAATACAGAGGACGATCGAACAATATTGAGGACCAGGGTCAATTCAGGGCAAATCTGCAACAGGTACAAAGCCTGGTGTCACCAAGACTTTGAAAAAGTCCGCGAGTGGATCACTATCCCAAGTGGTTCACCAGAAGGATCGCTATCATGAACCGAAGTCTCGAGCTGCTCGCATCGAGGTTCCCGCACCCGAGCCACCTTGGAACTCAGGGAGTTTGGATGCCTTCACACCCCTGAGAGTATAAGTCACGCCGAGGAGGGGTGGGGGGAGCACAAAGGGATTAACCCATCCGAGGAAATGAAATGAACCTAAGGTGAAATGCTCGAGGAGTTGCAGGTAGTGCCCATTGTTATCAACTTGATCCCTCGTATTGGTTCCCTCGTATTGGCCATATTTTTTGTGAGTTAGTGAGTGGGTGAAAGACAAATCAGCTCGATGCGGGAAAAAGCGATTACAATGCAAATCTGACGAGTCCGTGTCATATATGGTCACTTGTTGATTATAAACTACAAAAATGAAAACGAACAAAAAAAGGTAAACATAAGAGCAAATCTAAACACTGACGCTCATGCTCCCGTGGAATGAATCATTGCTTTCGCCAACAGATTGTTTGTTAAACGGAATCCGATGGATCTGTCAAAGGAACCTTCTAAAAGTAACCATAATATTGGAAGGAGGTGAACATACCTCCGACAGTAGCTCTTCTTACGAACAGTATGCTAAAAAATCATTTTGTTGGATTTGTCGCTGATCGGAAGAAGAAACTCCTTTTTCCTTACGTGTTTGTGTTATTATCATGGCTATGAAGAGTAGCGCCGGGCAGAGATGGTGTAGTGGCCAGTGGAGCAATATCATGCACGCACGGCCTTAGGTTCGAAGACCGGATCAATATCCGCCTAGATCAATCAAGCCTTCCATCCCTCTGGGGACGGTCAATCGGTAAGAAACCCAGAACTAGCTAGGAACTCCAAAAAATGAAAATACAAGTATAAAAAATGAAATTACAAGTATCATTACTGAGTGTTTTTAGAAATGCTATGCATGGAATATTTGAATCTAATAAGTGACATTAATTACGATAGCGATACAAGGTAAAGTGCATGGAGTAATCGTGACGGGTTGTCTGGAAACGACAACTTGCCCTTTTTAATCCTTTGTTTTTGCGAATATTCATTGTTCGAATTGCATTTTCGTTCTGTAGTTTTACATTATTATGTATATACCATTAACAGTTGGTGTTCACAGCATTTTGTAATCCTTATTATAGTAAAGGCCAAATGTGTGGTGGATCAATTGATAGACATCTAAGACACCGTAACCTACAGTAACCCACAAGGCGACAAGTTGGTATCACTTTTATATAGGTGTGGGTGGTTGGCATTTCTTAGGATTTCATGAATCTCTTGAAATCTCAAATTCTATGAGGCTGCTGCCGACCTTCGATACATCACAAACCAATTTTTTCTGGCCCCACCCCATCCATCCATGGCATCAACATCCGCTGTCTGTTGTTAAACGAATGATTTCGATATCGTTTTCATCGTTGTCATGCACGAACACAGCTGAACTCACACACTGTTCCATCGATTTTCATCAAGCTCCAACTGTTCCCCTCTCCCTCCCCCTCACGTCAATTGCAACCACATCGACATCCTTATCAGCTTTACTTCTTTAGGAATGTCTTCCATAACTTGGTGGCTCATTCTCGCGTTTCTCTTTATTCACGTAATTATCGGTTCTAACGCCAGCTCAAGTTCTTCAGATGAAAGCGAAAGTTCAAAAGATAGCTCATCATCGGTGGGTTAACGGTGTCTTACAATTTGATGTAATATGATGTGATTGCTCGAGTTCTTTTTTGTTATGAGTTATTGCCTGGGATAAAATCCAATTTTTGACTCAATTTTTTAAAGGGTTCGAAAACAAAAAGTTCATCAGAAGATAGCGGAACTTCGGTAGAAAGTTCATTGGTGGGTTATGATCTTCTGAATACTCAAATCTACGAAAAATTAATGCTGACAGTCTTTTCTTCAGAGGCAGAAAGTTTCAAAGGAAAAACGCTCATCAGAAGAAAGCCATCCAAAGAGTCTGGATGGCAGTGCCCGTGATAACCAGAATGTTGTGCAGCCATCCGAAAAGACTAGCTCAATTTCACCATCTCCTGCTCCTTCAATAGCACCTGATCCTGATTCTCCAACCCCATCTACTCCAGGATCGGATCCCCAGACGTCTTCAACAACTACAGCTAAGCCCAAGAAGTCACTATCTGGTGCATCATTCTTCAGTGAGTTCTTTAATGTTGTCCAATAATCTTCGAATTTCTGCTTCATTCACTAGCACCCTAGCATGGGATACTCCTTGAGGAAGGCAGAGATATCTGGCTAGGAAGCCGATTGAAAGCTTTTACCAAGGAGTTCATAATTATCACAAGCAAAAAGCAAAAAGCGCCTTTGGTGTAAAGCCGTCGATCTCGTTGGTCAGGTTCTGAACGATTGGCCAATGAATGTTGTTGTTTATGTTGAGTATATGCCACGATTTAAAAGCATTTCATTAAGCTTGAAGACGTGCTGAGCAGGACGTTTTGATTTTTCCCATGAACATCTGGGGTACTAAACTATCCCATTCTTTCAAAGTGCGTAATTACATAAACGGCATCTGTAGCACTTCCCGAACGTTAATCATTCATTGGTTGACTGTTATGAGGCATGTTCTTACTGATCACTATCGCTTGGGAAGTATCATAGACCTCCTTGCCGTAAGGTTAGGATTTGCATTCCCACGGGTTGATTTCGTGGATGCCATGTGCTTGCCTGCGACCGTAGGATTTCAGGTGCTGAGTTTGTCACCACAAAAATCCCAGGCAATTCCGATCCTTTTGAAATGCTTGAAGATCTCAAAAAATTAACGAGCTAAGGACAAAACTTCGGCCTCGGACAGGAATCGAACCCGTACTTGTGCTATCCGGGCCCCTCTTATTCCCTAGTCTACCGAGACCCCGCTTGAAGCTGCTTGAAGATCGTTCGCCTAATGGCCCTAAATGATTCGCTTTGACTACAAAGCAATCGAAGCTGAGCTGAATATTACTCAATAAAGCTTTGCCCAAATTTGCCTATTCCACTATAAAGGATGAAAGGATAAAGTTCTTGGCATTAATTATTCCCGTCTGAGGAATGCGCCCTCGCACTCGACTTCCATTCAGAATCGTAGTGGCGTAATGAGTGCGTATGTGGCCTATACAATGACTTGCGGTGGCCAGCCGATGTANATGGAAGGCTTGGTTGGCCTAGGCGGGCATCGATCCGGGATTCGAACCCCTGACCGTGCGTATGATATAGTGCGCCTTTTGCCACTACACCACCTCCGCCCAAAATAGCTTAAGGTCCAGAAAAGCAGTTTTTTTCAAACGATGGAGATTCGGGCGACTTGCCAAAATCGCTTACAAGTTGTTTCAGCTATTTTTTAGCTAGGAAGATTTCAGAAGCAGCTCTGAGGATTATTACCACAACATGAAAAGTTCCCTTTCAGATGGTGAGACTTTCAGTACCCTGAAAGATCCAGTAAGAAATACAAAACCAATCATTAGATAGCATATGATCTACGGGAGTGGCAGGAAGAATGCATCGAAATTTGGTGTGCTCCCGTTCCGGTTGATTAATGGCATCGATGAAAGTATTTGCGAAGCAATGTTTAACGGGATCGTTCAAAGCCAGAAGGCTTGAGCCCCTATTCTTTTTCATGTATGAATTTAGTTTCATGGACAGAGGTGGTCTTGTGGCAATAGGCGCACTTCGTACACGGGTTCGAATCCCGGATCGATGCCCGCTCAGGCCAACCAAGCCTACCATCTTTCCGAGGCCGGTTAATTGGTTCCAAACTCGTCTGGGAGGATAAAAGCGCTGTCTTGTACACTGAGTGGCCACCGCAAGTCATTGTATAGGCCACACATGCATTCAATACGCCACTACGATTCTGAATGGAAGTCCACCCTCAGACGGAATTTCTCAACGGCCCAAGACTTTAACCTTTTACCTTTAATCTTTATTTCAATTTTTATTGCTATATTACTCGAAGATCTGTAAAACTCGACAATTTCAAAAATTGATTTTGCAGAAACACTCTGAGGTGATTATCGAAATGTTCTTCTTTCAGTTGGCTTTGCGGTAGGGATCATGGTGATCGGAATGATAGTCGCAGCTGTCCGCTTCTGGATGCATCGTCGAGCTGAGCGTAGGATACCGTATACGATCTACTGATTTCCAAGCTGATTCATTCATTCTCTTCTTTTACTAGCAATTATTCTCGACAAAATCCCGAAAGAACTTTTTTTTTTCAAAATCAACCTAAGCGAACCACTTTTGACGATATTATCAGTATTACCTTGTTGTTCCCTCTATCATTCGAGCTTAGTTGATTTCACGTCTTTCCTCAAACAAATCCTTAGACGCCTTGATTTTCTTTTTTAAGCTTCTACAGAAGCTACTGAATGAATCTATCGCACGACCGTTTTTAGTTACTATAGTAACCGTATAATCCGATCAAAATTTTGAGCACCGTTCCCTTTCATCCCCGAGAAATCAAATGTACAGCAGCTTAACTCTAACTTTTCTTTAGCAAATTGTTGAATGCAACGAGATACTTCCCTTCATTGTGTAAACATTTCTGCCAAATGAGACTGTTGGATGGAACATTGTTATATTTCGAAAACTATTCCCCCTCTTCATAGACCTGTAGGGGATTCAGAACCTTGACTTAAAACCTGCTCGATCGAGTTCCTTCATCCCAGAATATGGCCTTTGAAGTCGGATCCCGGGAGCGATAATGAGAATCAGACAACTTAAATAGGACAACTTTCCTACTGAGCAAGCTCTAGTCCTTTCCGACTGACCGAAATTTAGCAGTAGAGGTATGGGATGGGCTTGATTAGCGCCCCAAGACTTTATCCTTTATCCTTTATCTCATTTAACCGACTAGAAATCCACGAAATTCCTTGCCTTTACATCCTGACGAAGCAACATCAAATATGCAGTAAGCTATTTCTGTAACCAGCATTTGATAATGAAAGAGTTCTTAGTTGAAGTATTTCGCAGATTTCTTTTGCACATCTCTGTTTTGTATATTTTTGTTCCATCTGAAGGTCAGTTCTCTGAATTAAGTGCTGGTCGAAAGACAGATGGACGAGTTTTTGTGGGGAATCTTTTAAGCGGATCAGAATTACGGCACGAAAATCGAACAGTGAATGGAGTCAATCTCTTTATAGAGCACATGAGCACCATCTGTCGTGTATTTAGAAAATGCTATTGTTACTCGAGAATCACGTTCACACTCAATATATTTATAACAATTTCTTACTTAAAGGCACAGTTCACGATAATTCTGGGTAATCCAGATTATGATGAAAAATGGAAGACAAGATCGAAACTAGTGCGACTGAGGTGAAGAAACTGTGTGCATCGGTGTTTCCAAAGTGAAAAAAAGGCTTCGAAAAACCGTCAAAAAGGGGGCTGGACGAGAATGAAACTAGAAAAATGAAGAAGAGTAGGGCGTCCGGATGAGCTGAACAGTGTGTTTCACTGCGCGCGTGTGGGTCCTGGTGCGATTAACAGACAATGGTAAGCAAAAATTCATACACTTGTAAGCATAAATAAACAAGTAACCCTAGTAACAGCAATGTAGCTCACCTTGTTCAGCCTCTAGGAGTAGGAAATTAAATAAGGGATCGCGGCAGCAAAAAGAAAAACAGAGGAAAAAAGATTGGGAGAAAAACATTCCCTAAGCGCCGAGATTGTGGGAGCGAGAAGGTCCCTTCTACGCCCCATGGGGGGCGTTGAGTATTCCTAAAGGAAGATCTCAGTAACCTTCTTTATCGTGAACCGTGCCTTTAAAATATGGTTGGCCGTTGTGAAATTGACTCTAAGAAAGTTGGATATCGAAAATAACAAGTCGGAAATCTTCGCCAAGAAGAGATTCAGCCAAAATTTTGTTCACCGAGATTGCGGATGTATCCAGCACAAACATGACAACTGTAGATTTCAGGGCTACATCCAACTTTTGGTAACTTTGCCGATAATCCTACTCGACATCGGAATTCAGGAACTACTTTCGCGAGATCGCCCAAAGGCCGGATTGTGAGAATCGTTGTGAAAGCCGTATTCGGGAGAATTTGATCCGTGAACCATGCTTGTGAATGTGCACCACTTGATTCTACACGTTCCGTCATCCCTCTCAGCAAGTTTAGAGAATGAGACGTCTTAGGAGTAGACACCGCTAGGACCCACTTAGCACCGAGAAAAGTGTATTTAACTGGAGATGAACCTTTCTAAAGGCTCAGCTCTCAATTAGTTTAAAGGCACAGTCCATGATGAAAACGGCTTATAAGATATCCCACTAGGATGGGTCTGTGCCCCTTCGTGTACCATATATAGCGCTGTCATGTCGGCAAACAGCCTAGATTGGGCGTCATAAAAGCAAAGAGATCTCTGTGGATCTCCGGACGAGTTACAAGCTGCACCAATAGCGAGAGAACTCATGTACGAAGTTCAAACAACAGTTTCATGACCTATAGCGACAGTGAAAGGCAGTTCTGAAGCGACTTGATGTAGTCAGCTTTTTGCACAATTACAACGACTGACATCTCGTACGAATACCCTTTCCATGTCATTTCCCGTCAAGTAAACTCGTACAATTCTATCGTCACTTCTCTGCAATACTTTTAAGAGCCTTATTTTTCGCGAAATCGGCAAATTTTCTCGCTCTTCACGCACCGATGCACAATTTCTTACCAATACTTCTGGCGTTCCACTAAAAATCAAAATTAACGTGAACTGTCCCCTTAACTTCATTAGTGGTACTTTTTCATTTATTAGAGGTATCTCATACAATGGGGCATCACAGATTACAGTAACAGTCAAGGCAATCACAATACACTATACAAATGTACACGCGGTCTAGAGTTTGGAGGTAGTCATGAACGGCTGACCAGCATATCCGCAAACTTCGGCCACCACTTCAGCCGGGGTCATCTGTGCAAGTCGAGAAACTGGCAGAAGCGGTGTGATGTCGAAGGGAGGCATCTTCTGAAGCACACTCATTGCCGTCAGGATGCACATCAATGCAGTCACCCCATACGTGTGTGCTTCTTCGAACTGAAACAAAGCATTATAAGGGGCTCAGGTGTAACTGGTATATAGCAGAGCTTTTCAAAATGTTGAAATGCTTTCTTTAGGTCGGTCGTTTTGTCGAGGCTGTGGATAGATTAGGGCTTAGTGGCCCCACTACTACCACCACGTATAGTCCAGAGAAAGGATCCTAGGTTGGCCCTACCAAACTTCCCAACCTCCGGATCTTGTTTGATCGGTACCAGACCCATCCTCAAGGATAAGCGCTGACTTTATTGATGGCTGACTCTTGCAAATAACTGTTTACGAGTGATCCTGGAGCCGAAATTCAGGGCAGGATCGAAATTCGCCAAAATGTAACATTAAGAAACATTTAGGGCTATTTTAAAGCAAAACTTTTCTCATTTCTCTTCATGTAAAATGACCGTACTCAAAACCGGTTGGAAAAGGATCATTATTTCATCCCGCAGAATTCCTTTTCACCAAAAACGATTTTTGACTTCACTATGACAGAGGGGCACCAGAAGATAGCAGAGACCTTTATTAACAATATGACATGTGGAGTGGTACAGGCACGTTGGACATTTCCACCTCGACAGTTGGGCGCTGTGAATGGGCTCTTCATGGCAAAGAAGAGTATGAACCCTCACCAGAACCACAGAACTACTCATTTTCAATTGGTCAATCGCAAAATTGATTCGGAAAATCGAGACAAATTATTTGTACTGTCCACGTAGCGGAGTCCACAATCCCCTTCAGCGAGTTTAGGAAAAAGTCCTCACATGAACCTTTGTTTCGTGTTAACGAAACTTACACTTCATTATTTCCCTTGCTCCGCTCCGTCCGTTCTCCTTCTTCCTGTGGAGAGTTTCTTATCCAGCTAGTTCCCTATCAAATCGGCAATGAACGAAAGTCGTACTCAAGTAGGTCTTCTCTCCGGTTGCATACATGTAGGGATGAGGAACCTAGTATAGTAATTCTGGGTCTGGAGGCAGCCCCCCCCCCCCCCCCCCCCCCNCCCCCTCCCTTCTGTTCGGGGAAAGTTTTCGATTAGGAACATCAAGATTTCAGAGGGTTTCAAACTACAATCTGCGCAAAGACAATTTGTCGTAGGAATCATTACGATGTGAAGCCCATTCAGGACATCTGCGCTGGATCTTCAAAGCTAATAAAAAACAATTCAATGTCTTCAAAGTATCACAAAACCTCAAAAATGTTACAGCATTCGTACACCCATAATGTGGAATTCGTCAGACATTTGTCGTATCATGACATAATAAATGACCACACAGTCACCCGTAACTACTGTCTATAGTGCCAAATTTCAGCTATCTATCGATTCTGACGGACGAGTACTCACCTATGCCCACTACCATACTCCTGATTCTGATAGGATCGAATTCCGACCTTACTTTTCACCTACTCTCCGATTATTACTTGTCAATGCAACATCGAAAATCTACTCGCAGGCTAACCAAGCTCCCATGCTTCCGAAATCGTTTGATTGGTACCAGACCCGTTGAGAATGTAAAGAACCTGACTTCGGCTCGCCACTGACAACCATAGTATAGGCCTACACACAATCATAACCCCATTACTTTTCTGAATGGAAGTCGATGACGGGGGTTCATTCCAAAAACACGGCTAATGAACACCATAGACTTCTTTAATTCTGTACTTTCAAACAATTTTAGGCTGAAACGGCCCTAAAGAGCTGTGTGCGATTGTGTAGGCATAAAGCGACACGAAGAAATCTATTAGTAAGCGTGGTTTCCTGAACTCCACCTCTAGTATGGCACAGACCGACGATGAGGGCTCATATAATCTCTTGTAGAAGACGTGGGACAGATGAAGAGCTTTTCAGCCGAGAGAATCCGTGAGGGTTGTCTTTAACTGCTTACATGATAGAGGAGCCGCATGCTTTACCGATCACCCTTCTTCGAACAACTTGCGGAACTCTCTCCATGTTGCAACAAATCTGGCAGGGGATTAACTCAAAGGTTTTTCAAAGTAAAAACTATTCGATGATGTCAGTCCCAATTGAAAAGGTTCAGCGATTGGGACCCGTCCAATGCCTCTCACATTCCTGCCCCCCCCTCTCCTCCAATCCCTACCTTTCCTATGAGCTTTGTCCCTTCAAGTGAGCCAACAAAAATCGAATAAAATCTTTGCCGAGAAACACTCAACTGAGCAAAGGGATATATTATACATATATGTATCTGTATACGTATAGCAATAACCTGGGAAGGTAGGAAGAAGAGGGAGGGATGTGATAGGTTAGCAAAGTAACCTACGGGTTGAAGCGGTTACATATTGGGAGTCTAAAGTAGCTCAAACACAAAAAACTCCCAGAGTTGTTTATTTTGCTATCCAACACCATTCCTCTACTTTTCCCGCATGGGAGACTACTTCACCTTTCTCAAATGCTCGAGGTAAAGTACATGTTCCCTAATGAACGTCTCTCCTTCTGGTGTGGGTCCCAGATGACGAGCCTGAGAATCCCAGACTCATTCTGAAACAGAGGGGTACGGCTGCTTTCAACATAAACAAATCGTAGTCCATATGTTCACATTCATAGAAGAAAAAACTTCGCCGTCACCCTTTTTTCTACACTGAACACTGCTTTCATGGGGCTTTGAACGTTTACAAGAAATCGCATTCACACAACAGCTGCACTTCATCAGTTCCTAACTATGCAAGAATGAGCCAGAAAAGAGTAGCACTTGTTCTCGCACCATGAACGAGCATTCATCGGAGTCCTCCAGCAGCAGAACATCCCCCAAACGCTATGGTATGTGATACAGGAACTCATTCTGATCTTCGTCGACTGAACTGTCTAGCTACATCTTTAGAGCAGCTGAGGGCAATTAGTACGAACCATTTATGGCAAATGTTGCGTAGCGATGCAGCTGCGCCATAAAAAGCTAGGCGAAAGGATTCGCCGAAGATTTCCCTTGGATAAATCAAAAGAATACTCAAAAGAATAAAAGATATAGTCTCTGGGCGTTGATCTCTCCCATCTTAGGTATGCGCCACCTCATTCGACTTCCTTTCAGAATCGTAGTGGGGTATTGAATGCGTATGTGGCCTATACCATGGCTTGCTGAGGAAAGCCGTTGTATAAGTCAGTGCTTTTGTCCTCCTAGACAAGTCTGGTACCGATTAACCGACAGCGGAGGGTGGAAAGCTTGGTTGGTCTAAGCGGATATAGTTACAGGACTCGAACCCGTGCGTCTGGGATAGTTCGCTAATTGTTCTCAGAGCATCTTCACCCTCGAAAGAACACACAGTTTCATGGAGTATAAGGTTTAAGTAAAGAATATTCGGTGGAAATGTAGTTGGGGGGGGGGAGAACCCATCCAAAGGCTAGTATATCAAGAAATGAACTCAATGAAACGTGTTATGCCGTGTTATATCACGGACATGCCAGTTTTTAAATGAGGGCTTTCGAAGGGAAGGAGCACCGCGGTGGGCAAGCTTTCTTCCCTTTTTTTTGCAGGAGGTAATCATCCCAGCCACCCAGGTGCTCCTACCCTACTTAGGCTTATTTGGGAAACTAAATTTCTTTAGCCTAAACCACATAAAAGAGCTAAGGTGGTCGGTTCCCATCATCCTCTACGCATCCGATACAGTGCTAATATAACAAGGACTAACACGTTAGATTGAGTTCATTTCTTGATATACTGACCTTCGGATGGGTCTCCCCCCCAACTACATTTTCGCCGAATATTCTTCACAACCTTCTGCTGCATTCAATACTGGCCCCCCAACCTATCAATAAGAAGGTCAGGAGTACGCCCAATTAGGAAAGCCACTAAGCCAAATTAGAACAAGCTTATAACCCTCGACTTTTCTCATTTGCTTCCTTATTTCAGATTTCTGTTCGTAAAACAGAGCTCTAGTATCCCAACCTCAGGATTCCAATCTGCGGTAGGTTCTACCCAAACAAAGAAGAATTAGATTTTGCGCGGCGTGGTCTAGGCCAGCTCGTCAGAGTGGAATTTCGGAGGAAATCCCGTCTAATGAGGCTATTTCCGCGATGGGTAAACCAGATTTAGGAGCTGAACCTCCGTAATTTTCCTTTGTAAAATTGTTCGAAGCTCAGAGTGGCTTGCTCAACGGCTATGGTATAGCCTTAGAACGCATTTTAATGGAACTCACCGCAAAGCTGTGCACTGTGTATTTGCTGTCAATAACATAGGACATGTGCAGAGAATCGTCGAGAAAACGTTCCAGTGGCATCCAGAACGTGTCCTGCACTTCATCAACGTTCAATCGGGGAAAGAAAGGACGCCTGAAAAAAGGAAACTGAAAATTTCTATTGCCTGGAGAAATTCGAATAAGTTCTATGGCCTGGGGAACAAGCCTCCTGCCTGTCTTAATGGAAACGTTTTTCAAGGATGTTTTTGATGACTAAGTCCGTCTTTGGATCCTACGAAAACTTGTTTCCGTATTTATAAACCCCATCTCCATCCTATACTGTCCCTTAACTTCTCCCATGTACTTTTTTCCCTTTCTTGTTTTTTTCCCCCATTTCCCTACGATACCCCAGCCCTCGAATGTGGCCTACCTCAGCCCTATGGCTGACCAACTCACCTTAACAAGGCAACTGTCGGATGTATAAGAACTCCAAATCGTGAACCAAGCGACGGTAAACTGCCTAGCAGGATGAAGTCATCCCGTTGAAGGCCAACCTCCTAAATATAAAAGCTTTTAATAGTGAAAAGTGAAGGCTACGCATTAATAGTGTTCGGACTCTTTTCAATACTATCATTACCCTTTTGCAAGAAGAATTATAGAGGCAGATAGCAGAACTCTTACTCCTTACTTTGTTATGTTTTGAAACATCTCGAAAAACAAATTAGAAGAAACTCAAGAATTTCAAGCTGTTTCCTCGCATTTTTTGTTTTGTAGATTGAATGAAATTAAAAGTTCTATCAATAGTGCTTGCTCAACTGTTATTAATTGACACTTTACAATTAATTTGTCCGAGTAAATTAATCCCACGAGAACACAGGGTCATTATTTATGTTTTAAAGAGAAAAGGCCGGATTCGTATGAAGGAAAGGAGGATAAGGAGCGGTGAGCAGAACAAAGGACAAACAAGACGAATAGAAAAAAAATAAAGAAGAAATGAGAAGAAAAAAGGGGTTAAAGAAGAATAATATTGAATAAATAACTTAAACTGGCCATAGAGCATGATCAATAGGCTTCGATTCCCTTGTAAGCTACAAAAACAGTTGGAATTTCCAACTTGATAGAGTAGCTTGATGCTGTACAAACTCATCCATTCATTACTCGGAGCCTTCGAACCTTGAGAAAACCAGTACCTACCCAGCGACTTTTCCTTCTCCCTACCACGACCTATACGACTTCTTAGCACATTGACCGCTCGTTAACCTTCCCTATCGGAGTAAAACTCATGAAGGGCAATACACCTCATTTTTCGGCTGCCCTTCACAAATCGTTCGGTACAAATCATAGTTTTACTACAGCCAGTCTGTTATTCGAAAGAACCTCATACATGAACGAATCGGAACTATAGGTTCTATGGCCCTTTATTCGTAGTAGCTACTAGTTTTTCCCACTTCAATCATACCGAATGTTTTGTCGTCGATGATAATCCATTCGGCGTGTAGAACTCGTTGCCGAAACAATTGCGAGTGAACCAATCCGATCGACTGGCCATTCAAATAGTCACTCAAACAACTCACCGACAGCCCATACCACAGCGGACACGCCATGTCATCTGCCCTCGAACAGTCATCGTACAGTCCGTGACTAATTAATGTGGATACTGACCCATGGGACCATCTGTGTACATAAAAGTCCACCTGGTGC